GGATCAATCCCTCTGTCCCAGGATCGCTGCCTTTGTCCCGGGATCAATCCCTCTTGTCCCAGGATCGCTGCCCCTCTCCCGGGATCAATCCCTGTGTTCCAGGATCGCTGCCTTTGTCCCGGGACCAATCCCTGTGTGCCGTGATCCCTGTCCCTGTCTCTCGGAGCTCCTACCTGTGCTCTGCTGGGGAAACCTCTCTCCGGTTTGCGGTGTTGGTTTTGGGCTGTTCCCGGGAGTGGGGTCGCTCTTTGGGAGCTGTTGGCTGGGCACGGCCCGGAGACTCGGGGCACCGGAACTCGGGCTGAAGCTGTAGAGAAGCGGAGGTAGCAGCAGGAGCAGGAGCCGGGTTTCCATCGCGGAACGGAGCAGGGACTGCAACTGAGGGAGTCCCAGCAATAAACCCACACAGCAGCTTCCACAAAATACATAGGCCAGGCAAACTGCCAAAAAAAAACCAGACCACTCAAACTTCTGAAAAAACACAAATCACGCAAACTTCCAAAAGAACACAGACCATTCAAAACTCAAAAAAAGACCATTCAAACTTGTTTAACAAGAACACACACACTACCAAGAAAAGAAACACAGACCACTCAAACTTCTAATAAAAACACAGACCACACAAAATTCTCAAAAAACAGACAACACAGACTACTGAAAAAATCACAGACCTGTCTAAACTTTTGAAAAAAAGAACACAAACTTCTTAAAAACACAGACCACTCAAACTACCAAAAAAACACAAGACCACACAAACTTCTAACACAAACGCAGACCTCACAAACTATCAGAAACACAGACCACACAAACAAACGAAAAAAACAGACCCCTCAAACTTCTAAAAAAGTACAGACCACACAAACTTCTCAAAAATACAGACCACTCAAACTTTTTTAAAAAACACACAAACCACACAAACGTCCAAAAGAAAAATACAGACCACTCAAACTTCTATAAAAACAAAATACAGACCACACAAATTTCTAAAAAAGATAGACTACTCAAACCACCAGAAAAACACAGACCTTACAAGGTACCATAAAAATGCAGACCACTCAAACTTCTAAAAAAAAACACTTCTCAAACATTTTAAAAAAATTACAGACCACACAAAATTCTCAAAAACGCAGACCACTCAAATGACCAAAAAACGCAGACCACTCAAACCACCAAAAAAACACAGACCACTCCAACTGCCAAAAAATACTTATCACAGAATCTATTAAAAAAAACACAGACCCCATTCTGAGTGTCCCCTCATCACCTGACTACCCCTCCCAACCTGAACTAAGGACTCTTCTGGACCAGGATATCCCTCCAGCCACCCAACTATAACACTCTAAACAGACTAAATTAACCCCAGGAACCCAACTGCCCCTGCAACCTGAGCTGACAGTCCTCAGGCGACCCCCTGTCTCAGTGTGATCTGATAAGCCCATCAGACCCACCTTACCCACCTTCAAACTATTCACCTCCCACCCTACTAACCTGGCTCTGTCCCCAAATCAGCAGCGACCAAACGATCCACTTAGCACCTCAATAATTCAGTCCAGTTCCCAACTTACCGACCACTCTGTCCATTCATTCATCCAAACATTCACACTGCACATTGCCACCTCACTGAAACCAGCTGGCACTGTGAAAGGAAAGGGTTAGCTCGCTTGTCTTCCTGATGTCACTCCATTGGGATGAAGCTTTTCTCCCTGCCTCTAGAGATACCGGCATTGGAAAACAGTGATCAGAAATCTCAGAGCAGCAGTGGGAAGTTTAAAGCCTCAAGCTCAGCAGCAATCAGAAGATGGTGGGTGCTTTGTGAAGAAATATGTCCAGGACTAACTGATATGTTTTAACAGGTTTTGAATACAATTTAAAAAGAAAACTATGAAACTAAGAATGACGAAATGTTAGACAGGCTAGGTTTGTATCCACTGGAATACAGAGAGCAAGAGGTGACTTGATTGGAAGTGAGATAATCAAGGGGGGAGATGTGAGAAGTATGGAGGTGATGGCCTAGTGGTATTATTGCTGGATTGTTAATTAGAGAGCCAGGCAATTTTATGGGGAATTGGGTTTGATTCCTGCTCCAGCGGATGGTGGAATTCAGTAAAAATCCAGAATTAAGAATGTAATGATGACCATGAATTCATTGTCAATGTTTGGGAAAAAACCCATCTGGTTCGCTAATGTCCTTTAGAGAAAAATCTGTCATCCTTACCAGGCCTGGGATAAAAGTGACTCCAGACACAACAATGTGGTTGACTCTTAATTGCTGTCTAGGATGAGCAATAAATGCTAGTCTAGTCAGCGATACCCACATCCTGTGAATGAGTAAAAATTCTCTTATGGGAGAATTTAGAACTTGAGGTCACTGCGTAAAACATAGATGGGGAGTTTCTTTTTCACAGAGGTATTCCTCTAAAGACAGGGGGAGCAGTGAGTCATTGAGTATTTTTATGGTAGAGGTAGGTAGATCCTTGATAAGAAAGGAGGTGAAAGGTTGCAGGGGATAGGCAAGAATGGTTCAGACATGATCTTTCTGAAAGCAGGCTTGAGGGTTTAAGTGGCTTACTCCAGCTCTTAATTAGTATGTCCAATACTTTTTCATTCTCACTATCCTTAATTAATCCATGCCTTTCCGAGTAGGCATTAATTTGCTCCTCCAGAATTTTCTCCAATTGTTTCCCTACCACTCACGTGAGACTTACCAGTCTGTAATTTCCTGGTTTCATCTCTACCACCCCTCTTAAAAAGTGGAACAGCATTTGCCGTCCTCCAGTCTTCTGGCACTTTCCCCAGGGCCAGAGAGGAATAAAAATTTGTGACAGAACTCCTGCAATTTCCTACCTTGCTGCCCACAGCAGCCTGGGGTGCAATTCATCTGGGCCAGGGGATTTGGTTGATTTTAAGCCCAACAGAACCTCCAATACCTCCATATTTCCTATGCCAAACCATGCAAGTTCCTCACAGTCCCTTTTCCTGAATTCCATACCTACGTTCTCCTTTTCCAGAGTGAAGGCCAAAGAGAAGTATTCATTCAACTCCCTTCCAATATCCTGCAGCTTCACACACAAGTTACCCGCTTGGTCTCTACTCTACTCTACGCTAATCACTGAGCCACTGTGCCACCCATCAGTTTTCACTGTGGAAGATACTAGTAGTATACCAGAACTTCAAGAGAGTCAGGGGCAGAGGTGAGTGTAGTGGCCATCACGAAAGAGAAGCTTGTGGGGAAGCTGAAAGGTCCGAAGGTGGATAAATCACCCGGAGCAGATGGACTGCATGCCAGACATCTGTAGGATATAGCTCAGGGGAGTGTGGAGGCATTGGTGCTGATCTTTCAGTAATCAATGCAGTCAAGGAGGGACCCAGAGGATTGGAAAATGGCTAACGTAACACCCCTATTCAAGGACGGAGGCAGTGTTGGTGGTGCTGCTCCAGTGCCTTGAGGTACCTGCTGTAGACAGTCCATGTGTCAGAGATACATAGGAGGGCTGTAACCACCACAGCTCTGTAAACCATGATTTTAGTGTCAGATCTGATGTTGTTGTCCTCAAACGCACTTTTCCTCAGGCAGCTGATGGCAGCATGAGAACACTGGAAACGATGCTGGATCTCCAATAGCTGCTTTGGCTGACAGGACACTCCTGAAGCATTGGAAGTGGTCAACATTCTCTAAGGCCTCCCCGTGGATCTTGAAGACTGGGGGCTTGCTGCACAATGCCAGGCCAGGTTGGTGGAGGACTTTTGTCTTGCGGATGTTCAGGGTGAGGCCCATGCTCTCCAATGTCTGACGATGGTCTGGAGTACGTCCTCTGAAATTGCACGTACACAAGCATCAACCCACAGTTCAATGACACTGGTTGGGGTGACTTTAGTTTTGGCTTGAAGGGGGCAGAGGTTGAATAATTTCCCACAGGTTCTGTAAGTTCGCTCCATTCCAGCGGCACATTTGACAACTGTGAGGTGAAGCAGTGCAGCGAGGTGGATTGAGACCAGTGCTGGGGCGATGACACAGCCCTGCTTGACACTGGTCTGAATGGGAAATAGACCGGTGGCTGAGCCATTTGTCATTACCGTGATATTCCCATGGTCGTGGAGCAAGTGAAGGATGGTGGCAAACTTCATGGTACAACCAAAGCAGAGAAAGATATTCCATAATGATTCCCGACTGACAGCGTCAAAGGCATTTGTAAGTTCGCAGAAGGCCATGTACAGTGGTAGGTTCTTTTCCCTGCATTCCTGCCACAGCTGTCATGCCGTAAAAATCATGTCTGTGAGCCCTTCCATGGCTGAAAGCCACACTATGACTGTGGGCGGAGTTCCTCAGCCACTAGAAGGAGATGGGTGAGGAGAGCCTTGGCAATGACTTTTCCAATGGTTGGCAGCAGGGAAACTCCCCTGTCGTTACCATGGTCAGACTTGCTTTCTTTTTTGAAAATATTCATGCGTGTGGCATCTCGGAAGTCTCCTGGGACACTCTCCTCCTTCCAGATAAGACGGACAAGGGTGTGTAGCTGCAGCAGGAGCTCTTTGGCTCCGCACTTCAATGCCTTATTGGGGATACTGTCTGCTCCAGCAGTCTTGTTGTTCTTAAGCTGATAGACAGCCTTCTCTACATTGTGCAAGGCTGGGGTGATGCTGAGCTCATGCCATGTGGTATGCTGCGGGATGTGTTTAAGTCTGCTCGGATCAATGACAGAGCCATGGTGAGGAGGTCTCTGTAGTGCTTCCCCCAATGTTTTTTGGTGTCTTCTTTATCTTTGAGAAGTGTCACTCTGTCCTTGGCCAGCAGTGGGGTGGGGCCTATGTGTTTGGTCCTTATGTGGTGTTGACAGCACAGAAGACAGCCTGTATATCATGGTTCCCAACCGTTCCCCTGGATCTTCAGTTTTCATTCCTGGTCACTCTGCAGTCCCCTATATCATACGGTTTAAATCTATTTGTATGTCTGATTCATCCATTTTGTTATGAATGCTCTGGGCATCTTGGCACAAGGCCTTAAAGCTTGTCTTTTCAGCATTATTAGTCCCATTCACTGGGGCCATGCTCAATTTTAGCCCTTGAATTCTCTGCCCATCGCTTTCATTATTTCCCATTCTATCTTTTGTTTTCATCCTTACTTCGCTGTCATCCATCTCCCTGCCATTTTATTTTAAACCCCCTCCCCCCATCAACACTCACAAGTACATCACTGGGACATCCTGCAGAGTTGCAACCCATCCAGATGCCCCGGTTCTGGGGGAGGTGGCACCAGTTCAAATACCCCAGGAATCTGAAACCCTCCTCTTAAGCCATGTATTCACCTGATATACTCTTCTATTTCTACTCTGACCAGCACATGGCACTGGTAGTAAACCAGAGGCCACTACCTTTGGGGTTATACATTTTACATACTTCTTAATTCCTTATATGCTGCTTTTAGGACCTCATCTTTTTTTATAATCTATATCATTGGTACCATTGTGTACCGTGACCACTGGCTGTTCACACTCCCACTTCAGAATGTTCTATGGTTGCTCTGAAATATCCTTAACCCTAGCACCATGGTGATGGGGATGGGGGGTGGTGAGGAGCTGGTGTGCTAGTGGAAACACGTCATCCTGGAGACTCATTTGCAACAACAGAAACACCTACCTGTTCCCCTTATGATTGAATGACCTGTTGCTACACTCATTCCTTCTCACCCAGCAGGCAGAGCCAACAATGGTACAATGAATTTGA